ATCAATAGACAAACAATTTTTGCAACTCATATTCCAGACAAAGTGCTGGTTTCTTTAATATTAAACATATAAAAAGTTCCTACAAAAATAAGAAAAATCCAATTTACATCAGATTAAAAGTAAAAGATATGGTTAGTATGTGGAGAAAAAAATAAAAATCATTTAAAATTTGAGCATTGACCAAATTGAAAGATACTCAACTTCACTGAGGGAAAAAATGCAAGTAAAAGTATACTCTGGTAACATTTTTACCTATCAAATTAGTGAAGATAAAAAAGTTAATAAGATATGTACTCTGTGGTCAAGGGTTTGGACACTAGGCATTCTCACATAGGCAATATCTTTCAGTATGAAAATTGCTCATTTCTTTGATTCAGCAATTTCACTTCCAGATAAGTAATTGACAGATATACTTAGCATATGTGGGAAATGATGATTCATTACAGCATTGTTAAGATAGCAAAACATTGTAAACTATCTAAATGAAGGGGCTCGTTATAGGACCCTATTCTATTATTCTATTTGAGAAGAGTGAGAATGGGGCCCCAGTCTTTTATGGGTTGTAAGTTGCAGTTGAGAAGTCTGCAGTTAGTCAGATGGGTTTTCCTTTGTAGGTTACCTGCTTCTTTTACCTTACAGATCATAGGAGGGCCTCTTTCATGTTTATTTTGGCCAATCTGATGACTGTGTGTCGTGGTGTCTTCCTGTTTGTGATGAATCAGCCAGGAACCCTTTGAGCTTCTTGTACCTAGATACCTAGATTTTTAGCAAGGCTTGGGAAATTTTCCTCTGTTATATCCTCAAATAGCTTATCCACCCTTGTGTATTTTCTTCACTCTCAGGGATGCCTGTGATTCTCACGTTAGGCCTCTTCACATAATCCCACATTTCTTGTAGGCTTTGCTCTCTTCTCTTATTTCTCTGCTCTATCTCTTCAACTAACTTATTTAATTGAAAGGTGTTATCGTCAATCCCTGAGATTCTTTCTTCTGTTTGATCTACCCTATTCTTGAGGCTTTCTCCTGTGTTTTGTAATTCCTTGAATAAATTCTTCATTTCCAGAAGTTCTGTTTGATTTTTCTTTAATATTTCAATTTCTTCAGTGAATCTTTCTTCCAAGTCCTGGATTTTTTGTGTGTGTGGCTTCTTTGTGTTGGGTATCCATTTTCTCTTGCATATCATTGAGTTTTCTTACAATCCATGTTTGAAATTCTTCTTCTGTATTTTAGTGCTCTGAATTTGGTCGACATCCATTGCTAGAAAGCTGGTATTCCCCTTTGAGGGTGTGCTTTCCATTTGATTCTTCATACTTCCAGAGTTCTTTCACTAATTCCTTCCCATCTGGAGCAGCTGTTGCTTCTTAACCTTTAGATTTTTGTTTAGGTAATAACACACCAAGTATAGATTCTGAGCCAGTAGGTGGTGTTTGTGGGTGAAATTCGACCACACCCTGTATGATGCAGCAAAAGGGTGTGCAAATTGACCTCCCTGTCAGCAGATGGCGCTTGCTGGGAGGAGCAAGCTGTAGTGTTGTTTTTGGGTCATGTTACCAGCTCTCATTCCTCTGGAGAGGCACTCTAGTGCCCCAGGTGGTGGGTGGGGCCCTGGGAATTCCAGGTGTGTCCTTATTCTCCACCTCAGTGGGGGAAGGTGGGAGAGTGAGGCTGGGTGGGCTGGGTTGGGTGATCCTGCCCTCAAACTCTACAAATGCTGTTAGCAGATGTCAAAGGTCTGTTCTCTGCTTCTAGGCAAAGCTGTCAGGGAGGGGCTGAAATGGCCCCATTCAGCCAAAAAGTCTGCGTATGGAGGTGAGGCTGTCTGAGACCTGCAGTCTGGAGCAGGCCTCGCTTCTTTCCATCCTCTCCTATTCCGCAGCTTCTCCCAGGCCTCTGCCGCCAGGCAGGACCTCAAGCTAGTGGATCTCCCCTGACTGTGATGTGGGCCAGGATTACAGCCTAAGCTGGGCGCACGGCCCTTCTGTGGGAGGAGGGTTGCCCCTTGAGCACGGTGCAGCTAGGACCCACTCTGATCTGCCCCTGAAGGCACACATACCTCAGTAGAGTGGTTCACAAATATCCCTTCTATGCCCCGGAGCAATGCGATCGAGACCTGGGTGCACGGGATCTGGCCTACAGACCTGTCCCCCAGCCCAGAGATCAATCCCTGACCCTGCCAGGGAGAAGAGTGCTGGTCTCAAGTCACCCACGGGGTGCCCAAGCTGGATCAATGTCTCTCCACCTTGGGATTTGCCCTGCTGTGCAGCAGCACCTGGGAAGGCTGGTGGATAGGAAGTTCACAGTCCGAGTACCCCTCAGTCTGCTGCAGGCCCCCCAAAGGAAAGGTCCCCTTCCTGCGATGCCTCCAAGTGGTGGCTAAATTGTCTCTCTCGGCAGTCATGGGTGGGGAAGGGGAACGGGAGAGGAGAATGAAGAAATATGGCGCCTGCCGTTGGGCTGGGGTCTGTGGGGCGGGTGGTGCCCCAAGGAGCTGGGAGCCTGGTGCCCTCACTGCTCACTGGCAGCAGCTGTCTCTGGGCTGGTGTTGGCAGGTCTCTCCAGGAGCTCAGGAGCCCACCAGCAGTCTGAGATGCAAGGGACGGGAAGGTTAACTGATCCACCTAACCTTGTCGCTGGTCTCCATGCCTCTCAGGGTTTAGACCCTGCCGATGCCTTTCTCCTTCCAGTTCTGCTCTGCAACTTCTTCCCGTGGAGTCTCCTGTAGTTTCAGGGCACCCTTCCTTCCAACCCTTCTCTGATCTATGTTTGTCTGCCTTTTGTTTTTTTCACTTTCATCTAAAATCTGACACTCTGGCTGGCAGTTTTTCTTATCCGCCATCTTGCTGGTTGTATCTCTATGGCTATTTTTAAAGTTTACTGAAAAGCGTATTGGAGAGAATGACTTTTACAGCATTTGCAAAATCTTACATGGTTGCAATTAGCTTACTTTTGTCTTCATAACAGCATTTAAAGCCTGTTCATTTGTCTCTGTTACGGCAGCTGCAAAGCACTTAGAAAGGACAAGGGTCTCACTGCTGGGACGAGAGACTAGCGGACAGGATGCCCATCTTCCAGGGGGGCAGCTGGGGACAGGGAGAGACCACTGGCTTTCCACAAACTGATTTTTGGCTCAATTGGCCCGTTCCTAGCCCCCATATATCCTCTGGATTCCTGCAGGTCTAAATGGCCTCTCCCCTGTCTGATCTGATTTCCACAAGGATCTTCCTAAAATGCAAATCTGCTTTCCCACTTACAGTCCCTCGGAGGCTCCCTCAGAACCTGCTCCCTCATCCCCAGCCACCTTCTCACTCTGTTCTCCAGCCTCCGACTGACTGTTGGAGTCCAACGCACAGTCCAGCCTGGAGTCCCTCCCCACTGCCACCTCCCCCTCCACACCCTCAGAACTCAGCCCCGACATCAGCTTCTCCTGGAAGTGGTCCCCAGTCTCCTAGTCAGGCTCAGGGGCCCAGAACTCTGTCCTAAGGGCGTTCCCCGCCCAGGTCTGTCAGGGATACTGTCAGTCATGCTTGCCTGTGTCTCTTTGGGTTGGTGTACTCCACAGGGCAGAGACTTTTATCCCTTTACCCCTAGCCTTCGGGCATTCCTGAGCACAGAATAACGCTCACGCTCTCACTCTAAATGATACCTAAGCTAATAATCTGTCTTCTAAACTTCAGACACACATTTCCCCTACAGAATATCCCAGACGTGTGTCCTTCAGGCACCTCGGACTCAAAAGGTCCCAAACCAAATTAACAAGGCTCTGCCTTACCTTAATGTCTATTGTGATTAATGGCACTATACAGCCTTACATTCCCTCGGCCTCAAAACCTAGGACCACCCTCAACCCCTACACAGATTACACTGGGGAACCCTAGTGCTTTTGCTTCCCAAACCTTTCTCACACTCTTCTCTTGCTGCCTCTTCCTCCCCAGCTTCCTGGCCAGTGGCCACCCACTGGAAGCACACTCAGTGCTGTACACTCGAGTGTCGGGGCTGCTCACCGTGCCCTAAATATGTTCTGCGCCGTCCCGCTCAGCGTGCCATGTCATGTTCACCTTAGCAGGATTTTGTGTGCAGGAGGAGTTTAATAAATGGTTCTGCATTTAATAGTAGAATTAATAAATTTCACATATCAATTCATTCCATGAGACGACATTCAGCACCAAGTGTGTTACTCCTTAACACGACTGCTGAGATTAGTTGATTTCTTCAAAGGCCAAAATCTACGCTGGCCTTAGGATAAGAGCTCCCACTAATTTCATGTCTGGTACCTGCCAGCCATTACACACCTGTTATTTCCAATGCTTACAATAACCTTGCAAAATAAGAGCTAGTAGCCCCATTTGGCAGATGAGGAAATTCACATTTCAGGAGGGTCACTTGCCCCAGGCCATATAAGTGTAAGTGCCCGAACTGGGACTAGAAGCCAGCTTTTTCTAATTCTTAAAGCCACCAGACCACACCACCCACACCTGTCTGTTTTGCTCTTTTCCTTCATTTATTCATCTTCGAACAGGACACTTTAGTTTGTTGCTACATGAATGTTTATTTTGCGTTTTACAGCCCACTTTAACATCAGACACCTCTCAAGAGGAGGATCTGGTGGAGGCAAAGTGCTTAGCGAAAAAATACACACACCTCTCCTGCAATAAGGTCTTCTGCCAGCCATGGCAGAAGTGCGTCGAAGGGACTTGCGTGTGTAAACTCCCGTATCAGTGCCCGAAGAATGGCACCGCGGTGTGTGCAACTAACGGGAGGAGCTACCCGACATACTGTCAGCTGAAGAGCTTGGAATGTCTTCATCCAGGGACGAAGTTCTTAAACAATGGGATATGCAAAGCTGAAGGTAGGAAAAGCCTGGTTTTCAAGTCATTCCGTGATATAAGAGGGCAACCGTATGCCATACTTTCTATTAGAAAATACTTTTCCCGTGAAATATTACGATGACAACTCAGAATTCTTCTCTAGACCCTCAATAGTAATTGGAGTAATAACCAAAGAAATCAGGGGTCACCAGAACCCAGCCAGCCCTGAGTCCAGTCGTTCCCCTCGGGGCCTGTGCCATTCTCTACAGCCCAGCCTTAGGATTGGGCCACCCTCACTACTACTCGGTTAAAAGGATTATTCCAGGACACTGAGTTGGTTCAGAACCCAGCCAAGAAGTCTTTACCTGAAATGTAGGCTGGTTAGGCCTCAGGCTCCCTTTTGGACCTCCAGCCCCAACAATTTCTTCCAGCATCCCTCTCCCCAGGCCCTGACCCTGCTGGCCTGATTATCCAACCAGGCTCGAGCCGCTGCTAACCTAGAACGTACTCCAACCCAGCACTCTTGGCACCGCAGACCAGAGAGACTGTCCACACTCCATGCGGGTGCCGAATGTAAGGAGGAGGCTGGGCCTTAGCATTGGGGTTAGCGGAGTGTTAAGATCAGGGATCTCACTGTCCGTCAGATTAGTCTCAAACCCCACCTCGGCCACTGACAAGCTGTGCCACCTCTCGAGACCCAGTTCCCTCATCTGTAAAATGTGAATGATAGAACTTTCTAAGTTGTAAGCGTCTTGTGAAAATTAAACAGAATGATATATGAAAAGCTCCTCTCACAGTGCTTGGCAAACAGAAAGTACTCCTAAAATGGGAGCTATGACAGCAAAACTCAGGCCCATTGTCTTCTGGTATCAAGTGATCACAGACACTCATGGCCTCAGGAATGCTGAGAACATTCTTTGTAAAGACACTGTTACATACAGCTCACAGTAGCCTATGTATTTTTGAGATGCTGAGTTAAGATGTCGAGGTACTGTGGAAAAGGAGGGAAAAGGCTCCCTGTCTGAGCCCACTTCTGTTATCTATTGGGGAGGAAGAAGGCAGGAGTGGAGGTTATTTAGTCAGCATCAGACTTTTCTTCTCCTGAGGCACTAAATGCCTTAAATGTACAAGAATACATAAACCCTCTATATTTTCATTAATTGTTTAGCTTACTTTTAAGAACTTGGACTTTGGAGTGAGATCGGTTTGAGGAGGTTCCAATTCCTGGCTTCTTCACTTGGGCCGGTAACTTGACTTCTGCTAGATTTAGGTTCCTCCCATGTGACAATGGGGATAAACATAGTCTTAGTCTCCGGAGGGTGATGTGAGGGTGTAATGATCTTCTGTGCAACTGGAAGCACGCCACTGACACACAGTGAGCGGTCGTAAAGGAACTGCTCACTATTATTTCTTAAAGTCTTGGTGGTACTCAAAGGGAATTTGAAATGATGTATTTTATTATTTTAAAGGCTTTTTAATTAAGAGGGAAAAAAGTAAATGCCAAAATAACACTCATTCTTTTGGTTTTTTATTTTAGGAAAATTCAGTGTTTCCTTGTATGGAAATACAAACTCAGAGGGAATTGTTGAAGTAAAACTCGTAGACCAAGACACGAAAATGTTCATATGTGAAAGTAGCTGGAGC